CAAACTATGGGGGTTAAAACCTCTGTAATCATAGTAGGATAAGTATCAGCACGACTCAACTCAAAAATTTGTTTTTGAAGTGATTCTCTGTCATGGGTAAAGGATAAGTCGCTAGGAACTATTTCTTCTATCAAAGGTTCTTGTAAAGGTTCAGAAATTTCTTTATCCTTAGAAGATGATTTTTGAGTAAAAGAACCTCTAATTCTAGAGGGAGTACCAGAACTAGAGGAAAGTATAGAAGAACCAGCAGAAAAACTGACGCCACGGGCAGATCCTAAACTACGGAGTCTGCCACCCCGACCCCTTCTATGTCTAACAGGGGCATTGGGGAAGTTATCCAAGATAGGAACTCTTCTAGGGTTAGGGTTTGAAGAAGACATGATGAAGAAGGTCGAATTAAGGAAGAAGTGAACAGTATTGAAGAGTAAAGTATTCAACAAAACTTTATGAAGAAGAGGACAAGAGAAAAAGGTTATATTTATGTGAGAAAGCGACCGTCAAAGGCAAGAAGTGCAATGATGGAAAACCTATAATAAAGGCAACCAGCTCTTCGTGAATAGTGGAGCTGTAAAAGCCTTGAAAAAAGGCTGCAAAACTGCAGAACTGATGGGAGAATGACACGTGTATAGAGCATTTAATAGAAGAGACAATTGAAGCGTCCATGTTGTCATAGCATTAATGATGACATAAATTCCCTTTTTAATGAAATCTACTTCCCAAATATTTAATTGATAAATAAATATAAAGTGGGAGGACTATTTGTATTGGGTAAAATTAAAGTTTGCATATTGGAGGTGACGTGTCATGACACGTGGATTAGTCAAATGGTCAAAGAGTTATAATTAGCAAAGAGGCACGAGCAACAACAAATACGAGAGAAGGTAAAGAAAGAGGCACGGGCAGTTATTCAAATAGTTTGGCGCCCGTATCTATTTAAATCATTTAAAGCTCAAAGATCAAGAATAATCAAGGAAATGAATCTGACGACGCATGAGAGTCCAAATTCAGTATTTAACATATATTAAATATCTAGTATGTTAGAGAATTTGTATTTAATACATATGATTGAGTAACGTTTCTTTTATTGTCATTTATTGCTCATAATTGCCTTATTAAGACAAAGGCAATAAACATATCTCCAAAGAAAAAAACCATTATAAAAGGGAGAATGCTGAACATTTGTAAGGACAGGGAAGATTATTGGAATATACTGATTTACTTTGCTTTCTTCTGCTCATCTTGTTAGTGTTGAAAGCCAATTTCTACATTCTTTCGATTATCAGTAAACCGTGTTCTTCTAAATTCCAGCTTTGACTAAAATTTTATTTTTTGGTTAAACAACCACACCCTTAATCTTGACATTTTGAGTAAATTTTTGATAATCTTTGGCAAACGGATTATCCTATTTTAAAATTTACTTTTGTTAAGGTATCATATACCGAGGGAGTATATTACTTGTTTGTTTGTACTATGCCGTGGTCGTAATTATTTAGCTTTTAATTAACTTTGCACTTCCCAATCATGATGTCACAGAATATACTTAAATAATTTACTCCAAAACATAAACATTATTTTTGCATATTTTTAAATTGGAATAACATACGAGAAAACTTTGTCTACTCGTTACTTAACAACATCGTACTGGAAGATAAGGAGAAAAATGAATAAAAGTAAACGTGTTTTCTTTTCCTAAAAAAATTTGTTGGATGAGNATATATATATGTATACATACACACACACATAGAATCTCTGAAACACCTGCTGCCATACTTCTATGCTCAGCTTCTGTTGAGCTTCGTGATAATGTGCATTGCTTCTTTGATTTCCATGAAACCAATGAGTCTCCTAACTTCATTACATATCTAGTCACAGATCTTCTAGAGACTGGACATGATTCCCAGTCTGCATCACAAAATGCAGTAAGTTTTATCGATTGTCTTGAGCTCATCGACAGTCCTTGTCCTGGGGCACCTTTTATATATTTGACCACTCTGATTGCTGCTTCCATGTATGATATTTTGAGACAACTCATGAATTCGCTGAGTACATGTACTACATAGCATATGTCTGGCTTGTCACTGTGAGGTACAATAATTTCTCTACCAGTCTTTGATAGGGTCCTGTATCCAACAACTTCTCATCACCTTACCAATTGTTGTGCTTATCATATTCAATAGTAGTGGACTTCTGATTGCATTCCATTGATGTGCTTGTTAATTTTGACCCTGTCAGCCCAAGATCAGTGATCAACTCATGTGCAAACATTCTTTGGTTCATCAATATGCCTTGTTTATATCTTACTATTTCAATTCAAAGAAAGAACCTTAGTTCTCCTAGGTCATTAATCTTGAAGCTATGTTGCAGTATGTCTTTGGCTTCTGAAATCAACTTCTGATCATTCCTAGTTATAAGAAGATCATCCACATACACGAAGATGATCACCATTCTTGTGCCCATTTTCTTGGTGAACAGTGAATAGTCAAAATGGCTTTGTATGAAACCCGAGCCAATGAGTGCTTCAGTTACCTTTAGCCTGCATACCTTCTCCTCCTGGCTGAAAATCCCTATGGCAGGCACATATATACTTCTTCAGTTAAATCTCTTTGGAGGAATGCATTGTAAACATTCATTTAGTGTAGGCTCCAGTTGTGTGCAGCAGCTAATGCTGGTACAACTCTGATTGTTACCATCTTAACCACTGGTGACAAAGTTTCCTGATAGTCTAGTCCTTCTATTTGGTTGTACCCTTTAGCCATTAACCTTGCATTGAACCTTTCCACTTCATCACTGGCCTACACCCATTTGCACTCCTGATCTATTGCTTCCACCCACCTAGGATCTGTCATTGCTTCCTCATAACTGATGGGTTCCTTTGTGGCAATAAACTTGGACAAGAAAATCTGAAAGTTGGCTGAAATACCTCTATGACATAGGTATTCTTGCAAAGGATATATGCATGCATTCTTTGCTGAGTACTTTGCTGATGTTCCATCACATACATAATCTTGCATCCAAATAGGTTCTTTCGTTGTTCTTGCTGATTTCCTCAATTGCTCATTTCCCCTATTGTTGGCAATATCTTCTAGAGTAAACTCTATATGATCTTGATAATGTTCTAGAGTTGATGTTCCTGATGGTTGTAGTAGATCTCCACCTACTGAGTCTTGTTGTATGTCGACAGCTGGTGAGCTTGGATGAGATGGAGTGACTGCATCTAGTAGATCCTCCTTAGTTGTGGCTGCCACTCTTGGAATGTCAGTGTTGGATATCGCTCCATTTAAGAGATGCAATTTTCCTTCCTTTAACAGCTGAAAAGGAAAGATGCGGTCTTTGAAATATACATCCATGCTAACAAAACAAGTGTCAATTAGCATGTTGTAAAGTCTGTAATTCTTCTGAGTGGATGAATAGCCCATCAAGACAACTCCTATATATATTGATCTGGCTGCAAATTTTTCAACTTCTCCTATATTGATGGCAAAGCATTGGCAACATTTAGTCCTCATATGTTGCAGTGAGGGTGGTCTCCCATACAGAACTTCAAACAAGGACTTTTCTGATAACACTGACAAAAGAAGCCTGCTGATCACATAAACAACAACCTGAACACATTGTCCTTAGAATTTAATAGGCAAATGCCCTTAAAGTCTTATTGCTCTAGCCACTTCCAGTATATATCTGTGTTTTCTTTCAATCATCCCATTTTATTGTGTGGTGTGTACACATGAATTCTGATGAATCATACCATGAGATTGAAAAAGTCTTTTTACACTCAAAATTAAAAAATTCAGTGCCATTGTCACTTCTTAAAATCTTCACTGATATATCAAATCAATTTTTTTATTAGGGGCAGAAATTTACAGTCACATCACATTTAAGTCTCATTAATTAAATCCAAACACTCCCACTAAAATCATCAACTATTGTAAGGAATAATCTAAAGTCATCATGAGTAGTTATTGTCGCGCCCTCTTTTTCTAGAACGAAATCGGGTTTATGACATTTGGAAAGACAACTCATTCCTTTTGGGAATTGGGTTTGCTTTTGAAGAGTCGCCACCTAATGATTAGGGTGCATTAGGACACCAAAAGAGTTTGATTTTGAATAACCAGAGATTAGGGTAAGGGCTTGAAATTATTCCAAGGGGAAGGTATTAGGCACCCCTCAGAATCCACTAGTATGGTTCCCGACCAGATAATTATTGTGAATTTGGGGTACCATTAACATGTATACAAATAGGGCTCAAATAAGAGGGGGTTTCATATAATGGTTTACAAATAAACAAAGTTTGGAAGAGCAAAGAAAGCTGATTTTTTTTAAGAAGGAGTTGAAATGATAAAAGAAATAAAGAAATAAGGGAAAAAGGTCCTAGGTTTATTAACAATATGGATCACCCCACACAATGCCCGGTAATCACTCCTCAATGAGGAGCTACACGTGACATTATCGCGTGGTCATCATATCCATATCTACCCTTCCCACCGTATTAAGGTATTTAAAGCGCGGATTGGTCTCGTTTACTTATTACATGCTATTACCCGTCCCAATCCTATCAGTCCCGGAGGCATTTAGGACTACTAATCCTAAAAGGGAGGTATATTAGGCTTATTTGTATTTTCAAAGGAAAAAACTCTAAGGCGACATACAAAACACGTATTGCAAATTGGGGAAAGCATATAACAAGCAGAGGCTCAGATATACCTCCTTAAACAAAGAAGCACGTAATTAGCATGACTTACACATACTGCTTAGGTCTAAATTAAAAGGTATTAAAGACGAGTGAGAGGAAATTGTTAAGACAGTTTCAGCTTATCACATAACTCAGATAAGAAGTCTGAATCAAGCCTGCCTGCTGGTTGTAATTATTAACAGAAGCAGATTTAGTTTATATTTATTACCCTAGGGCTTGCCTAAATGTTGGACAAGGATCCTATAAGCATGGTATCTACTGGATTCAGAAAGCAATGAAACAATAAGGCTCAAAATGATCTGTTTGAATGCATACTCGTTAAACTTGCTAAGTGAGGGACTCAGATTATTGAAAGAGAGAGGCAGAATTTAAACAAATTGATTACAAGTTCTGCAAACGATAGCAGCCATTACTACTGGTTTTATATCTAACACTAAGTGAGGCGAATTGGATTTTTTTTATTAGAAACCCCTATAGGCATACTTTCTAGGCGTTACTGATTTTAAGACTTTGTAGACGTAGCGTCGAAATGTAGAAGCCTTATAAACATGATTTCTAAGTGAAGTTTGAATATGCAAAATCCTATAGACATGATTTCTAAGTGAAGTTAAATATGCAGAACCCTAGAGACATGATTTCTAAGTGAAGTTAAATATGCAGAATCCTATAGACATGATTTCTAAGTGAAGTTTGAATATGCAGAATCCTATAGACATGGTTTCTATATGAGGTTTAATATGCATGAATATAGTAGTCCTATAGTCATGATTTCTACCCCTTGCATACATAGTTACCCACCCTTTTCACTAACCAGACCCAAATGCTTATTACAAACAAGAATAAATAAAATTACATCAGGAAAAGTAAAAAAAAGTACAACTAGAGGAAGCCTGATTCTGACTTCCTCTCTCAGTTACATGATAGACCCAACTCGAAGACCATTGATCCAAAGCCTTTCTCCAATCTGAGTGTGTCAAAGTTCCCTAAGAGCCTCAAAAGGACTCCGGGCAATGCTCACACCCAAATTGCATTGTCAGAATGGGGATAAGTGTAGTTTGGAAGGGCCAACCCTCAAGTGTCCAAGTTCAGAGGGAGCCCAAGAGGTCCCAAGGCAAGGCTCACAAGAGGGGGGCAGAACTTAAAGTCTAAGAGAGAGGGCAAGTGAGGAATAGAGTTCTAAAGGGGTGAAGGAGAGGGAAATAGCTACAAACAAGTACTCAAAAGGGGTTCAGGGGAATATGGAAGTTGCAAAGAGTCCATGTGCTTAGACATTTAGCTAATTCTGGGCATGCACATCAATAGAGAGTGCTGTTAAGTCAGAAAAGCTAAGGAAAGTTTTCAAATCAAACCAAGAAACAAGAAGATTAGTAAAACAAGGAAAGAATCAATCAGACTTACACAAGGAGGTCTGAAATCAGTCAAAAATTGAAAGTCATTTTAGAGGAGAAGCTCAGCATATATAAAAAGCACACAAGTATTAGGCATGCATGGTTGAATTTAGGACAAATAAAAGTGTCATGCAATTGCAAAATCAGTAAGTAGTGGACTATAGGAACATGATAGTCACATAGGTCAGTTTCAGTAACTCAGCAATGGAGAAGGGAGAGAGTATCAAATAGCATGCAAAGGGTCCAGTAGAAAGACCTTAGAAGAGTTTAGCATAGATTCAGAATCATATAAAGAAACAAAAGATTTTGAAATTCAGTCGAGCAACAGATGAAACAACTTCAGAAACTCAAACAGGTCCAAAGAAATTAGGGTTTTGAAACCAAACAAGTTCGGAGATGAGGAACAAACAAATCACATAGCAAATAATATTAGAACTCAAATGAACCCCAAATCTTAGGGTTTTTGCCATCAATCGAGTGTAGAGGTGAAAGACAAGAGAATCAGGCAAAAATATCAAAAAAGAAAATAAAATCAGAAACCCTAAGAAAGAACTTAAGACTTTAACATAAAGAAATACAGTAGAAGAATCAACATAAGAAATATAATAGAAGAACAACATAAGAAACACAGTAGAATATGCTAAAGATCAGAGAGACTTCTATATATCTTGCCAAAACCCTAAATCGGAAAAGATAAAGGTTTTGAAAGCAGAGTTTTGAAAGAAACTTTGAGAAAGTGTTTGAAAGTTTATGGAAAACACAGATCTAGAACAAATCTAAAGAAATCAGAAAAACCTCAAAAGTTAGGGTTTCAGAAGAACCCAGATGGTGAGAAAGGCTTGGAAAGTCATTGATCTAAGCAGGAGAAGTCGAGATCAGGCTCGAATAGCCATGGTTGGCCGGAGCAAAGTCGGAGACGACCATAGAACTCAAATCGAACAAAGTCTGGGCCAAGCTTCTTCAGGGTCAGGCCTTGAAACTATAGTAACCAAGCGTGTAGGAGTTATAGGAGGCCGGTATAGGACTTCAATGGCCTTGGAAGCCATGGATTCCGGTGATTTTAGAGTGGAAGCGGAGGGAGGCGGCTAGGGTTTGAGGGGAGCTTGAAAGAGAACTAGGAGAAAGGGAGGGGGATTCAAGGGCGGCTACAGAAGGGAAATGATTAGGTTTTAGGGGTTAGGTCGGGTTAAAAAAGGAAAAGGTTAAGGGTGGCCGTTGATCATTTTGATCAACGACCTAGATTGAAGGGGAATCCGGGCGGGTTATTTTAAAGGGTCGTGGGTCGGGTAGATTTAGGATTTGGGCTGGATAATTGGATTTGAAATTAGGTTTAATTGGGGTGTCAAATCTGGCTAAAATTGAAATGCAAATGGGCTAACATTTATATAGCCATTTTCCCTTATTTATTTTATAAACAATAGTAAAATAATTTTTGGAAATAAATTAAAGGTATTAAAATGATTAATAATACATAATTATCAAATTAAAAATACTGGAGTCAATTTTATAAATATAATTACAACTAAATCTTGAAAGAGGCCAATATTGCAATTATATGCAATTTAGCTTTAAAAATACTAAATAAATTTGTAAAAATATGCAAAAATTATGTTATCTATATTTTAATATAAATATGAGAATTAAATAAATTAATCACCCAAAATGATAATTTGGAGTATAATGATTGAGTTCTTATTGATAAAATAGGGCAATAAATTGATTTAAAAATCTTTAAAAATTAAGAGAAAAATAATAAAACCTTGGGACATACTTATATATGCAAATACATGCTATTTTGAGAGTATTTTGCATATTAAAAATATACAGAGAAAAATTGGGTATCAACAGGTATCATATAGGGACCCGATACATCTACATGTACCAAATGAAAAGGTTTATTAGAACTGGAAGTACTCTTTAGAAATGACAATCTTCCTTGTCTAGCTGGAGGACAGATTGTACATTCCTTTATTCTATTATTATTTGACTTAAATATCATAATTGGATTTTTTTTCACCACTCTTTCAGTAACATGTCCAAGTCTTCCATGCCAAACTTCTAAGTCTTCCGCTCTCTCATGTCTATTAGGTACTTGCACAACTGCAACATTGGCTTGTACTTTCTTCTACTGCAGGTTCTACATTCCTTCCAGCTCCTTACTTATCCCCTTCACTTTTCCAATGTGAAGGTCATGCATTATCCAGAAGTTAGGATAAAAAGACACAAACCACCTTAAATCCTTGGTTAACTTGGAAACTGACAACAAGTTATACTTGAAACCTGGTATATACAATACATTTTTAATAATCTCATTCTCACCAATTCTGCATTCTCTTGTGCATGCTATATCCAAAGATTTTCCATTTGCTAAATACACCTTTGTTCTTCTTTAATGTTATTGTTGTCTACTTTATTAAGCAATTTCTCATTGTGAACCATATTATTGATTACACCAGAATCTACTATCCAATTTGTATTTTTTACTGTATCAATTATTTTTACCGTATCATTTATAGTAAAGGTATTGATTGTACATACAGAATCTTTCATGTGGTTACCAGAATTGTCCTTGTTGATCAACTTTAGTATTTGATCACACTACTCCTAAGTGAACACTATTCCTTTTCCCTTCACTGTGTTCCCTGTGGATTGACTCATCACCTGCTTCTCTTCCCGTGTTACTGCATTGGCTGATGGCTTGCCTTGTGTCTGCCGCCCTTCATGAGCTGTTACATTAGCCATAGGTCGTTGCTGGTACCCCTCATAAGGACCTTTGACCCCCTCATGATATTATCATTGAATATGCCTTGTTGACAGTTGGAACATGAGACATCATCAAAGTTTGACTTTTAGACTGATTGTAGGTTTCATTTAATCCTATTAAGAATTGCAGAAGTCTTTGATACTCAAAATGTTCAGCATAGCTTTTGGATTCTGGGCAATCACATCCCTGGGCAACACATAAGAGCATCATATTCTTCGCAGAGGTCTATCAGCTCTGAAAAGTAAGCTGAAACTGAAGAAATCCGTTGGGACAATGTAGCTATCTCTTTATGCAGATATAAGATCTGAGATCCATCTACCTTCTCATATTTGTTCTTTAAACCCTTCCATACTTTGTGTGGACTCGACTTGTACACTGTTCCACTAAGCAACTCTGTGTTAATAGCATTCGTAATCCAAGACAAGATTATGGCATTGCACTTCTCCCATATTTCATGCAAGGATCGATCAAATTTGTCTTTTGTACATTGTCCATCTACAAATTTTAACTTACATTTTCCAATTAAATTTCTATGGACCAACTCCATAATGCATAGTTTTTAGTACCAGTCAACTGGATAGAGATTAAGGAACTACCTGGTGTATCGCATGGCTGTAGGAACAAAAGATGATGGTAATCTATGGTGGTTCCTGCACTAGTTTCGGCTGGAGTTTTTTCTTCAATCGTCATCGATGACAAATTCAGTCAAGTTAAGTCTTCGATTTCACAAATCTAAAACTTCGCAGACTGCGAATCGGAAGAGAGAAAAAATGCAAAAAAATGCAAACCCTAGCTCGATCAGAGAATAGAATTGTTGTTGATTGCCAATGACTCTCAAGTCCTAGCAATCAGAATCAACATCCTTAATATGTCTCGATCTGGATTCCCTGCTCTGATACCATGATGAAGATCAGAGATGAGCTCAACTAGAGGTTGGCAATGGAGGAAATGAAGATTCTAGAAGAAAGTCTCAATCTATGGATGAGAGGAAAATGAATTTCATATCTGGAAATCTAAATTATTTACACTACTATATCACATATATATACAGCTGGAAATTAATCTCCTAAACTAAGCAAACAATCACTACTAACTAACTAAAGGAGAAACTAACTAACTATTCTGATAATTAGTAATAACTAACTAAGTCGTACATGCCAGTGACGTGCTCCTATTTCCTTCAATAATATGTATCTCACTATGTGTCCTATATATTTTGCTATATCCATCTGTGGGGTATTTTTCTTTCGTCATTCTTAGGTAATTTGTTAGTTTTAGTTATCATACAAAAATATCACTTTTTGAGTTCATACACACATTTTTCTTCGTAAATTTAAGATCATCTGATAGTTGTTTTCAAGGATAACTAATAATAAGCCGTCAATGAATTTCTTAATTTTTCATGTTCATTAGGCAAAATAAAAAAGCGATTATTCAATCAATTACTATAGAAAACTATACACACGCACACACATTGTTTCTTTCATCATCATTAGGTTATTAAATATTTAAATGTAGTTTTATTTATTATATTGATGATGGGATGCGGGAAACGAGGCTTAGATGGTTCGGACATATTTAGAGGAAAAGCCCAGATGCTCCAGTACGAGTGGCTGCTTGTCGAGAGTACGAGAAGAGGTAGAGGGCGGCTTAAGAAGTATTGGGGAGAGGTGATCAGGCAGGATATGGCGATGCTTCAAATTTTCGAGGGCATAAGACTTGATAGGAAGGTGTGAAGGTCGAGTATTAGAGTTGTAGGTTAGAAGGTAGTTGAGTCTTGCCTTACTTTGTACCTTTGTGAGACTAGTCTGGTAGAATTTTTGTCTAAGATAGCTAGTGGCAATGTTGTGTCTTACTATTTCGCTTTTCAATGTAGGACCTATTTACTAGCTATCGCTTTTGGTTTGCATCTTTCTTCTGGATTTCATGTTGTTCATATTTTTCCTATGATTTCTCTGGTGATACTAATATTGTCTTCTTTTGTCCTTTTGTTTTCTTGAGCCGATGGTCTTTCGGAAATAACCTTTCTACTCCTTCGGGCTAGGGGTAAGATCTGCACATACACTACCCTCCCCAGACCCCACTAGTGAGATTTTACTGGGTTGTTGTTGTAGTTTTGTTTATTACGCAGAATTACACTTTTAAGTTAGTGCACACATCCTTCTTCACATTTTTCAAGATTGTATGTACTCCCTCCGTTCACTTTTACTTAGCACGTTTTGACTTTTCACACCTCTTAAGAAATAATAAATGAAGTAGATACCCATATTAATTGATGCACATTTTGTTGAATTTGAGAAAATGATTTAAAATGAGTAATAAATACTGTGGGTATAACAGGAAAAAAAAATTTGTTTTCTCTTGATATGCGTAAAGCGACAAGTAAAAATGAAAATCTATTTTTAATATATATGCCAAATAAAAGTGAACGAGTAATTGTTTTCAATGTTATAATAGAAACGGTCCTCCATGAATTTCTTACATTTCTATTGGGAATTTATAAAAAAAACAAAAGCCCTAAAAAGTTTGTTCACCTTTCTTTCCGTTAGGAAAGGAAAATGATATTATTTTATTCATTCTATAAAAGAGAAAATCACGTACTCGGCGCATCTATTAAATTTAGTTAATTTAATTTTAGAAGGAGCAGCATCACAAATTGAAATGTTGTTTTCTCTTTGTTCTTTCCTTACCATGAGTTTGAAGTCTTCGATTCTAATTCTAATATTTGAAGTTTGTTATGTTGAACACTCTTCCAAAAGTACTCTTATATCAGCGATAATAATATACATTTCAATGCGTCCAGTTTTCTTTATTTCTTTTATTTGACAATATATCACTACTACTACACGCTCTAATGTGAAACCAACACGAATTAGATGCGTTATGCACAAATATTGCCACCTCAATCAATCTAATAGAGAATGATTTGGTTAGATAGTGCACGGTTGAAAAGAACTGTCAGTGTCTCAGCATGATGAAGTGCTTATGTTAAATACTTGAAGGCCCATTTATTTTTATTTAATGGTGGTCTAGTGTTTGAATGGTTAGCCCCAAGGTTCATGCACTAATTTTGATGATACCAAACCAACATAATTATTAATAAAAGAATATTTACTTGTGGTAATTGTCATGACCTCGGTTCGCTTTTCGTGAACCATCGTGATAACACCTAGTTTCTACGACTAGGTAAGCCTAACAATGAAGATAATAAACTAATTTGCGGAAGAAAATAATAAGAATGAAATAGTGAAATAAAACAGTGTTTAAAAGTGCCGCTTGGCATACACAATAACAACTATCGAAATCTGAACACATTTTCCAAAACCCGGAATCTCATAATCACAAGCCTTTGAATGTCTACTAGTATCTAACTCCAGAATATCTAACAAAGGAAAGAAAAATACAGAAGGGATAATACTAAAAAGGGGGAGTAGAAAGGGACTCTTCGGTCTACGGACGCGGCAGATATACCTCGGAATCTCTACAAGCGCCTCGTCTCAAGCGTGATGAGTTTGAGTGGAGGTACCTAGTTCTGCACATGAAAAACATGCACAGAAAAGGGCATGAGTACACCACAACGATACTCAGTAAGTGCCAAGCCTACCCTCGGTCGGGTAGTGAGGAGGAAGGTCAGAGCCCTACTGAGATTAAATAAAATATAAGATGTGACAGTATAAGATAAAGCAGTACAGTTGAAAGATAACCATAAGAATCAATACAGGATAATAAGGATAACTACAACTGAACAGAAACAGAAACAGAAAACAATCACCAAGAATACCACACTTCTCAAAGACAATATTCAGGGATCTCCCAGTATCTCGAGGATCTCTTAGTATCCTCAATACATGCTAGGGATCTCCCGGTATCCCGAGGATCTCTTGGTATCCTCAATATATGCTCCCGAGGATCTCTTGGTATCCTCAATATATGCTAGGGATCTCTTGGTATCCTCAATATACGTGCTAGGGATCTCTCGGTATCCCACACCTCAACTCAAATCATCAATATGTACAGGGGATCTCCCGGGATGCCGTCCCGTAGTCCCCAAGTAAAACACACAACAACAACACAAGGAATACTCAATTAAGCTAAATTTCGTACCAAGCAAAACAGGTAATTCTAACCTAACATGCTTCACATAATATAATTATGGCAGTTTAAATAATAAAGCAATTAAGTAAATTAAACAAGCTTTTCTAAGTTAACAACCGATTTAAATTTCAAGTAGAGTAAGCAAGAAAGGAAAACACAATTTAAACTACTTAAGTGAAAACATGATTTTTCAATAATTAGCACAAGTACGCACTCGTCACCTCACGTACAAGGCATTTCAATTACCACAATACCAAATCCTAAGGGGAATGTCCCCCACACAAGGTTAGGCAAGCCACTTACCTCGAACCGGCTCAAAAGTCAACCCGAAACCACGTTCTTGCCGCGAGTACTCGACTCCAAATGACCCAAATCTATTCAATTCAATTGCAAAATGTAAATAACAGTTCAAGCAACTGATTCTGCAAATATATTCTAAGCTAAGACGCGAAATTAAGTAAAATGATAAAAAACGCCCCTTGGGGCTACGTCTCGGAATCGGGTAATTTACATTTTCAGAAACCTTGTACTCTCATGAGTCTATACATAACAAGAACACTGAAATCGGAGTTCAATTGACCCCTCAAATACCGATATTAAGGTCTTTTAATCTCAAGCCCTAATTACCCATTTTTCCAAATTTTTCACCACTAATTAGGTCTTTAATCACATATAAACGAGTTATGAAGTCAAAAAAAGTTACCTCCAAGTGATTCCCCTTTGTTTCCTAGAAACTCACCCTCAAAAGCTTCAATCCCATTAAAAAATGGTGGAAAAATGAAGAAGGGTCGCGGATGGGCTATTTAAATACTGACCAAATATTCCTTCTTTGCGAACGTGGAAGGCCCCTCGCGTTCGCAAAGCAAAAATTCGCTTGGGTCCA